CTCAGGTCATGATCCCAGGGTCCTGGGATTGAGCCCCACATCGGGCTCTCTGCTCAGCAGGGAGCCTGCTTCCCCTTCTCTATCTGCCTGCCTCTCTGCCTGCTTGTGATCTCTGTCAAATAAATAAAATCTTAAAAAAAAATGTTCTACTTGCACTTGCATCATGATTTTTTCAGAGTACCAACCTGACCAATGTCATTATTTGAAAATTTGTATCTGATGGCATAATTTCAAAATGTCTTCCAATTTGGATTGTAGAAAGAAATTACACACGGTTGAGGACCAGATGGGGAAAAAAAAGGACACAGGGCAATTCACTAGAAACCAACTCACAAAATGTCCATTGTTTCAAATGGCCAACTCACTTTATTTATCAAAAAGTCTTTTACTGGTATTAACCCAAATGGTTTAAAAGATTGGAGAGAAATGGATTTTTTTTTAAATTTTATTTATTTATTTGACACAGAGAGAGATCACAAGTAGGCAGAGAGGCAGGCAGAGAGAGAGGAGGAAGCAGGCTCCCTGCTGAGCAGAGAGCCCGATGCGGGCCTCGATCCCAGGACCGTGGGACCATGACCTGAGCCAAAGGCAGAGGCTTTAACCCACTGAGCCACCCAGGCGCCCAAGAAATGGATTTTTAGTTGTCGTCCCCTCAGAACTGAGTTCAGAGTGCTCCATCAGAGACAGAGCAGAAAGCAGGGAACAGGCTTCCCAGCAGGGTGGGGACCTGAAGGCAGGAACAGTCTTCAGGGAAATCTGGCCACTGAAGTCGCTGGCTTATTCCGAGTTAGGGTTCGAACACCAAGAGTCCAATGTGGGCTAACCTCTCTTAAATGGAAAAGCTTACATTGTTATGTTAATTCTTCCAGAGTTGTGATGTAAAGTCCTGGGTATTCAAGGCACTGTAGAATTACAAGAACCAAATTTTCCAGATCTAGCGAGAACCAATTTTTTCTTAAAGATTTTTATTTAAGAAGGAGAGAGAGAGGGAGAGCACGAGTTGGGGGAGGGGCAGATGGGAGAAGTGGGCTCCCCACGGAGCAGGGAGCCCGAGGTGGTGCTGCAGATGCTTAACAGACTGAGCCACTCTGGTGAGAACCAGTCTTATGCAGACGTCACTGATCCCTTAAGCCCCAGGGCTCAGGGGGCCCAGGCACCGACCAGGGGGCCCAGGAAGCTATGTTGATGAGACAAGTTGCATCTGCCCTCATCCTGGGTGGTAAGATTGTGAATGTCTTTCCAGTAACATAATGACTCATTCAAACATTCAAATATTTATTGCTTGCCTAACATGGGCATGCACCGGGCACTGGTCTAGATCTGGGGACCCAGTAGGGAACAAATCAGACCTCAATCTCTCCCTTATAAAAGCTTACCTTTTGAAAGAGGAGATCAAGAACACCAAGAAGGGAAATATACATGTCAGAGGAAATAAGTGCTAGGGAGGAAAAGAAAATGTAAAAATAAGATTTAAAAATGAACAGGGAGGAGAGGCAAGCCATTTCAGCACATCTATATCCTGTCTAGGTCTGAGTTTCCCTAAATGGCAAAGCCCCTCTTCTGGATTATTTCCCATTGTCCATTGTCTCATCACCATGTGTGGGGGTTGGAGGGAGCTCAGACTGCCCATCCCTGCAGCACGTGCCTGCCTTGGAGCAGAGATGGATTCAGCGCTGCCCAATGGATCTGTCCAGTAGGGAGAAAAGTTGGTTACCCAGAGCGGACTCAGGCTCTGAGCCTAGGGAAAGATGAACAGACCCTGGGAGCAGAAAGGACCACTATCCTCTCGCCCTATAAGCCTTCTCCTGATGATTCAGAGATAAATGATACAAAAAAAGTACTGAGAATTCAGTGTTAGCTATTATCATGGCTGTCATTTTTATTAGCATTTGGGGACCCCATCAATCACTGGGCCAGTTATCCATTTATTGTGTCTTAATTTCAAAATGTATCAGTTGGCCTGAGGTTAGACCTTGTCAGTAGGGGGCGCTGGAGGGACACTGCAAGTGGCTTCTCCCCGGATCCCAGGGCTTTGTTCCTGTTTCCCCAGGACTGCGACCAGCAGGTGGCCGTTACTGTTCTCCACGTTGTAGCTGGCCACCTCCAGCACCTTCTTGAGCCCAGCTAGAAACACACCACTTAGCCCAACTAAGAGATGTATTGAAAATATGAAATAGAATTATTTCTCCCTTGACCGCCTTTTCTGATGCTCTGCAAATGGAAATAGAAAGATGCAAAACAGAGCAAGTGTTTTTTTGTTTTTGTTTTTTGAAGAGCTGCTTCCAGTCCTACTGCAGAGAAAAAAAAAAAAATGATCTGAAAGATCCCTGGCATTAAAGTTCATCTCATAAAAATTCATTCCAAAAATTGAACAAGTCTGGAAATGGAAGGAATTTTTCAACTTTTTAAAAAAAGATTTTGAGAGAGAGCGAGCAAGCAGGAGGGGCAGAGGGAGACAGAGAAGCAGACTGAGTAGGGAGCCTGATGTGGGGCTCGATCCCAGGACCCTGGGATCATGACCTGAACCAAATGCCTTTGGTTCAGAAGACTGAGCCACCCAGGTGCCCTGGAATTTTTCAACTTTCAAGATCCAGAATCAAGGCAAGTGATATCTGTTGCCTAGAAACTACTCTGGTCCATGCCAATTCGCTTTTTAAACCACCCCAAACACAATGACTTAAAATTATTTTTTAGCTCCTGATTCTTTGGGACCCTTTGGGCTGAGCCCAGCCAGGCAGTTCTGTGGGTCTCACCTGGGCTGACTCTTGCAGCTGCAGTCAGCTAGTGGGATGACTGGGGGCTGTTTGGTCTAGGGTGGTTCCCCTCACATGTATGGCTGGCTGGCAGTGGGTGTAGGTGGCTGGGTTAATGGCTCTCATTGGGCCATGTGTCTACAGCAGGCCAGCCCCAGCTTGTTCACATGGCCGTGCTCATAGGGTTCCCAGAAAGGGTTTGTTAAATTATTCTCTGTAAAAAATACCTCTTTCTGTGACTTTGCATGTTCTTAGGAAATGCCAACACTCCCCAGCACAGCCTACCAGGCCAGGCCCTCCCCACCACACCCAGCCTCACTGCCCCCTGCTCCCCCATGCTCCTCCCCACTTTGCTCTCTCCATTCCAACAGTGGACTTCAGGGTTATGCTTTCTCCCACCCCAGAGCTCTGGAACCGATTTTCCTACTGCCTGGAAGACTCACCCCTCTCCTAGTCAGGTTAGTGAGTAATTACTTGTAAAATATTAGTGTAAGCATCACCTCCTCCCAGAAGCCTTTCAGGAAAACCCTGACCAGGTTAGAGTTCTGTTTTCCTTTCTTAAAGTATCTACCTCGTGATTTTTCTTCAGAGCCTGTAGCATAGTTTTAAGTTTACTTGCAACTAATAACAATAGCTAACATTTAAATCACCCCTGGCTCTGCACCCCGGGTTGTTCTAAGAACTTCATGATGTCTGTTCATATGATTTTCTCCAGGCACAGAAAGGAGAAGAAACTTGCTCCAGTTCACACGGTTGAGGAGTGGTACAGACAGGACCCAAACCTGTCAGTCTGGTTCCAGAGCTAACATCTTTTTTTTTTTTTTAAAGATTTTATTTATTTATTTACTTGACAGAGATCACAAGTAGGCAGAGGCAGACAGAGACAGAGGAAGGGAAGCAGGCTCCCTGCTGAGCAGAGAGCTCGATGCGATGCGGGGCTCGATCCCAGGACCCCGGGATCATGACCTGAGCCGAAGGCAGAGGCTTTAACCCACTGAGCCACCCAGGTGCCCCCAGAGCTAACATCTTAACCATTCTGCTCTGTTCCCTCGCCCTGAAGTAAATAATCTGCATCTCACTACCAGACTGTGAGCTGGGCAGCGGTAGATACTCTGTGTGACTGACTGAATTGTGTCCTCTCCAAAATTCATATGTGGAAGCCCTAACCCACAATGTGGCTGTATTTGGAAATAGGGCCTTGAAGGAGGGAATTAAGGTGAAATGAGGTCATAAGAGTAGGGAGAGCCCTGATCCAATAGGACTAGTGTCATTTCTCAGTCCACTCAGGCTGCTATAGTAGAACACCATGGACTGTGCAACTTACAAACAACTGAAATCTATTTTTCTTGAGCTCACAGTTCTGGAGGTTGCGATGTCCCAGATCAAGGCACTGGAAGATTTGGTATCTGGAGAGAACCTACTTTCTGGTTCATAGATAGCTGTCTTCTTACCCTAACACCACATGGTGGAAGGGGCAAGGGAGTTCTCTGGGGTCTTTATATAAGGGCGCTAATCCTATTCATAAAGACTCCACCCTTATGACCTAATCCCCCCCACCCAGCCCCATCTCCAAATATCAGCACAGTGGGGATCAGGTTTCAATATATGAACTGACACAAACATTCAGCCTATGGTACCTTTTAAGAAGAGAAAGAGATACAAGGAGTGTGTATGCACAGGGGAAAGGCCATGAAGGGCCCAGTGAGAAGGCCACCATCTGCAAGCCAAGGAGAGAGGCCAACTCACTGGCCACTTGATCTTGGACTTCCAGCCTCCAGAACTGTGAGAAATAAATTTCTGATGTTTAAACTACCCCCCATCTGTGTAATTTTGTTACAGCAGCCCAAGTACACATACATTTGGTCTCTTCATGCTTGCCATTTGTACCTAGAACCATGCCGAACACGTAACAAGTGCTCCAAAAATATATACTCAGGTGCCACTACCTTCTCTGGAAAGTCTTTGCTCACCCTTCTCCTCCTCCCACGCCTGGTTTAAGTGCCCCTTTTGGGCTTTTGTTGTTACACTTTTCACTTGATTCTGGAAGGATATGTTTTGAGGTTGAATTATTCCTTTCTAGAAGGTTACATCTTTGAACCTAAAGATCTGAGTCTTCCCCAGGGCTCAGCACAGATGGTATATGCTGTTGGGAGTTTAGTAAATATTTGAGTGAATGCAAATCTCCTGATCTCCACACACAATCCCTGGATAGAGAGCAAGAAGGCTTGCGTTCTAAGCTTATCTCTAAATTCCTGAGCAACCTTGGATCCTGAAACCTCAAAAGTAATCATGGCCTTGAGTTTCTCCAGAGATCAAAGCTTGGGGAAAAGTCTTTTATGCTCTAACAAGCAGAAAGTACAGGGTCGTTTTTTATCAAACACCTGTGCAGTTGAACTGCACTCCTGAGTCTTAGTCATCTGCCTAGCTCTAACTAGACTTCTTGCTGTATCTCAAACATACTAAATTCACTCCTGTCTCAGGGCTTTTGCACTTGCTATCTCTTCTGGGAACACACCTCCCCCAGAATTTTCCATTGCAAATAATGGCCTTAATTTTCAGTGTTTATGCCAAAGTCAAGGAGGGGTGATGGTTGATCGGGAGAAACCAACTCAGTTTCAGGGCACTGGAGAAAAAGAGATGCCATTGTTCTATTAGTTCATTGAATCCTCTCAGCAGTCCTGAACGTTGTCATTATCCCCATTTTACAGGTGAAGAAATTAAGGCCATGAGAGGTTAAGTAACTTGCTAAAGTTCTCACAACTAGAAAGTAGCAGGGCTAGGATAGGAATCCAGGCAATTTGGATCCAGTGTCAAGTTTCTTACCCACAAAGCTCCCTGCTTCTCAACAAATATTGCTTAGTTAACACAGGGTCTGGAGTGGGGATGTTGCTCAACAAGCAATAGTTATTTCTCTACTCCTCTCATTTGACTCTCCTAATCTTATAGTCCAACCCCCAGAACCAAGTTGACAACCCTTCCTAGTCTATCTTGCCAGAATCTGGAGTCCCTCACTTCACCTTCTTATGCCTGTGCATCTAGGTAGCTAGATTTGGGGACTCAAAAATCAGGTTCTCTGGGTTCCCATCTAGGCTCCACCTTTCACTAGCTCAGTAAACATGGGAATGGTACACCCCTCCCCAGGTCTCAGTTTCCTCACCTGTAAAATGGGGACAGTAACAATCACTATGTTCTAGAATTGCTCTAGGGCTTCGTGAGATGATGCATGCAGAATGCTTTCCACCTTGTCCTGCCCATAAAAATGACTCAAATTATAACATGTATGATTAGAGCCTCTCAGTGAGAAGCCCCCCTGCCAAACTTCTGGGGCTGTGAAATACACTCCCAACCACATTAAGGGCCAAGATTGGGACCAGATGAACTCATTGTTCATAGACAAGAGGTTGGCTGGGTGAGAGGACTCCTCACCTGATCCAACCCAGATCTACCAGACAGTTACTTCCTAGAGGCAAGGTGGTTCAGGGGAGTAATCTCTTGGGTCTGATAGACCTGGGTCTGAATTCCAGCTCTGATTTCTCCTCAGGACCTCAGTTTCTTCATCTGTCAAATGGGAAGAGACTACTGTTAAGACTGATTAAGAATATGAGTTTAATTCAGGTTATATGATATTCATTCTACTCCTTGCTTAGCCACAGACCAGCTATGGGGGATGAGATGAGTGTCTTCAGCTCTGTGAGCCTTGGTTGTCTGCTCCATTGGGTGTTGTCACCATTCCTATCCCTGAGGTGGCTATGAGGATTTCCCAGGACCACATGTGCCACACTCTGCACCCTGTAGCAGTTTATACCAAGAGTTAGGAGTTTAGGCTCTGGAGTCAGGTTGCAACAGGCCTTGTTCAAATTCCAGCTCTGACAATTACCCCTGGTGAAGTCTTAGGGAAATCAATTTCTTCTCCCAACCTCAATTCATTTATCTGTGAAGTGAGAATAATATCAGTAAATGTCCAATAGAGCTTGTTATAAGAATTCCATACATGTAAAGCACTTAAAACTGGCTTGGTTCAGTGTAAGTGGCAAAGATATTAGGAGGACAATTTTTAAAATATCCTTTCCTAGAAAGCAAATGCATTTATTTGCCCCAAAGTTTGAGGACTTGAAAACATGCACGTAGTGAAGCCTTCAGGATCAGATTCAAGTCCAAACCAAAACAAAACAAAAAAAACAAAAAACAAAATACCCACCTTCATTTGTAGTTGAGGAGAAACAAGGGCCACGGGATGACATCAGGCCCCATCCCACATCTACAAGATCAACCCTACTTAACCATAGTGTAGCTCGAATGCCGGACTCTCACCAGAACAAGGTCAGAATCGCAACAACACCCATGCCCGCCCTGGGACGTGAGCCAAGTAAGCCTCAGAGGTTAACCAGCAGAGTAATCAGCTCCCTCGCAGGGTTATTTAGCAGACGTCGATGAGATGACGCACACAACACGTCATCTGGAAAGGGTTCAGCGATCGGAGGCTGTTACTATTGCCACAGCACCTGTCTTCTCCAGCTTTTTGAGGGGTTTACTCCCACCGGCCACTCGCCTTAGTCGGTCTCCGTCCCGACTTCTGGCAGCAGCTACTGTCCCAGCCCCTCCTCAGGAGGGTCCTCCTGCGCCCTTCCTTCGTCCCCAGCTCCTCAGCCAGCTGCGGGGAGGTGGGAGCCAGACAACACTCCACCAAGCACCGGGACAGAAGTCCAACCACCGCCTGAAACCGTTGGACTGGGCTCCCGCCTCCCGGTCCTCTAATCAATCAAAAGAAAAGAAGCAAGCCCCTAGACCAATCAGAAGTGGAAGCGGTCGAGCAATGCCCGCCTCCTTAAAGCGCCCTAGCTCCTCATTGGATGTGCCCAAGCGCGGACCCAAAGCTAAGCCACTTAGAAGAGAGTGGGGCCAGCCAATCAGCAGTGCAACCGCAGCCGGGCTGGTGGGACCGGAGAGGCAGTGTCAGCTCACAGACTCGCGCGGTGCGAGCTCGCCGCCTGTCAGCGCCAAAACCCTGTATGGACAGAAAGCCAGCTGGCTAAGCTCTTAGCCCTGGCCAATTAATGGCGGGGCAGAGCAATGGGTCATTCTCTCTGCGGTGTGGTGTGTGTGTGTGTGTGTGTGTGAGAGAGAGAGAGAGAGAGAGAGAGAGAGAAGGGAGACGGCTAGTACGTGAAGTGTGCAGTTAACCATGGCTCAGGCAATGAGCATTTGAAGCGCGATCATCTAGACCAATCACAGGTCAAGGCACTACCCCTTCTAATGCTTTCCTTGTCCCCCCTTACTTCCGGTGAAGCATGGTGCGTTCTGCAACCAATCAGTGGTGGGCAGGGCAAGAGGCGGGAAAGGGAAGCTGTCCACGGGCACCCGAAGCCTGGCAGGCCCTTGAGGGCCTCCCAACCAATCAGAGACACACACTTCATAGACTGTCAGGGGTTGAGGGAGAGGTGAAAGGCTTTGCAACGAGAGCTAAGCAGGGTGGCAAGACAGAAGCAGGAAGCGGTGGTATCCCGAGCCCTTGCAGAGGAAGCTTCCAAGGCTGTTGAGGCAAAGGAGGTTCAGGGCCTAGTGCTTTCAAAGAGGGGGTGACACAACCACTCAGCAGGGGAGGGGGGCGAGCTGGAGGGTAATGGCTCAGCGTTAGGGACCTGAACCAAGTCCATGGACCAATCAGGCTCCACCGCCCTGCCACACCTCAGGGTCCGCGGGGTGGGTGGGAGCTCCGCAGCCAATCAGGGGTGGGTGCGAGGCGGGAGCGAGCAAGTGGAGCTGTCCTAGGTGCCGCCTAGAATGTTGAGCATGCTCAGCAGGATGCGGCCAGCGCTGCAGCCAATCAGCGTCTGCCTCGGAATCCAGGCGCGACATGCAAGCTGTGCACGCGCCCGGGCCTCGAGCTCCCGGCCTCGCGACACTCACCACTTTCTAACGGCCACTCGAGCTTGTGCCGCCCTCAGTGTATGTGAGACTGTGGTCAGAGGAACAGGGTCCGAGTGGGTGAGTGCTGTGGTTTTTCTTACACTTATTAAGGCTTGGGACTGGTCCAGGCCAACCTGGAGTATGACGGCTTGAGTGGTCGCTGTGAGGGTTGAGGGCTTTATTCTGTGGGGACTCCCTTTGCCCTGGCGAGGCTGGCAATGGGACCTCCTGGGCACCTTTGGAGGCCAGGCCAACATGTCCTGAGTTGGTCCATGGTCCCTGAGGCTAACTTGATTTGGAAGTTGTATTTGCGGGGCTGTTGGGAGGCCCTTGGAGCTCTGCATGGCGTCACTGGCCATGAGGTATGGCCTCTGAACTGTGGGACGTTGTCTGAGGGCTCTGGACTGAGTCTGAATCTGGTGACTGGAAGGAGAGGCCTGTGACTCTCCAGAGGTTGTTGGGAGTCACTGGGCCAAAGATGAAATTTGTGTGTACTTGAGAGGTTTTCTGGGGTCTTAGGATCCAGCTTGGGCTGAGAGTGAGAGTTGCTAAGGTTGAAAGCCCAATGGGAAGTTGTCAATGGCCATTGCACCCAGGCTGTGCTAAGAACATGTGGCTGCAAGGCTCTTGGCGGGGGTTGCTGGACTCCAGGTTGAGGCACAGATTTTCCAGTATTGGGTCCAGGTTAGACAGCCTGACCAGGAGGTTAGGCCCAAGGTCTTCAGGAGGTTCTTGAGGAGGGAGTTTCTGAATCTCAGAGGTTGTTTGCCCTCTGTGGACTATTATTGCTGTGTGACTCTAGAAAAAAAACAGGATTGGTTCATGTTAGGCCTTTGGGTCCACTCTCTCCCAAACTCTGGTCATTCCGAAAAGGTATCAGGCAGTGAGAATAGGGCCAGATGCATAAGGAAGATGGACATTATACTGGAGCACAAGAAGAGGTGTGTGAAATATCCTGCTCCTTAAGAAATCACCCAGGTTGTCTTTACAGAAAATCTTTTATTCTTATGGGACAGGGTGTTGATATCTAATTTCACTCAGCTATTCAAATTATACATGGTATTAGAGCTTTCAGAGTGCTTTCATGTACACCCAGAGTTCTTAAACCTTGGATGGGGGATACAAGGGAGTGGTCTATGAGTAGATTTCAAGGGTTTTTGAGCTCTTGGAAATCATAAGAAAAACCGTATGCATGTTGTTTGGAGGGGAGCATGCAAAGCAGCCACAAGGATAAACAAGGAGTATTTAACCTGTCCAAGGACTGGCTTCAGTCTGTGAATCCCTTATCATTCACATATACAATGGTATGAGTATCTATAATTTTCTGATATAAAGAGTTGATTCCGTGGCTTAAAATTTTAAAAAGGATGGTAATCCCCTTAACCTATGACATTAAGAACCACTGGAATAAGCAGGTTCCTGTATTACCTGTGGGGCCTAGGCCAGACTAGAAATGAAGATTCCCCTTTTCTTTTTTTTCTTTTTTTTTTTTTTAAAGATTTTATTTATTTATTTGACAGAGAGATCACAAGCAGGCAGAGAGGCAGGCAGAGAGAGGAGGAAGCAGGCTCCCTGCTGAGCAGAGAGCCCCATGTGGGGCTCGATCCCAGGACTCCGAGATCATGACCTGAGCCGAAGGCAGCGGCTTAACCCACTGAGCCACCCAGGCGCCCCAGATTCCCCTTTTCTTCCCACACCTGGTGTTGGCACACATTTCAAGACATATTAGTCTGCATGTCTGAGCTCAGTCTACCTGCCCTTCACACAAAACCAAGGCCTGGAGTGTGTACATCGGTCATACAGTTCATCCTTCTGAGTATAGACTTGGGGTTAAGGGCTGTGTAGGTCCTGGAAATGGGCCATTTAGGAGAGGAAGTCCAGGGTTCTAAGCTCCCAAAGCACAGCCTAGAACTGGGGGACACATGTTCCAGGTGGGCCTTTCCTAGATGCCCTTGGATCCTTGGCCCAAGGTTGGGGGACACAGCCAGAGGGGGTCAGAGTGGGTTTAATGCAATACTGGCATTCAGTACTGGTCTTGAAAACAGCCCCTCTGAGCAAATTGAGGATCTCAGAAGAGTTAGCCCCATATTAGGCTGGAGAAAAAGGCCACCCACAGAGAAGATGCAATGGAACCTAAACTTTTTTTATAACTTCTAGTCTAGTTCTTTTTCCACTTGATCCACAAAAGATATGCTAGGATAAGGTCTCTATGACCTAGGTGCAGTTCACATGGCTATAATTACACTGGTTCTTGAGTTATATGAAACATAGATTTAAGGGAAGAAAGAGACTAATTTACTCCGCTTTGTCTCTTCTCTGTTATGTGTTGGATGTACTTAACTAGAAAGAGTGGGCATTTGAAAGTTTATGTAAGATTTGGATAATTGGCCTTCATCTTCATAAAATACTGTGGGGGAATTTAACCACCTTAATTTGAAGAAAGAGATGTGTTCCTGGAAAAAGGGAAAGTTCCTATTTTTCTAAATTGAATCTTGTTTAACTTGGTTTTGGAATACTTAGTATTTAAAATAAGTGCGATAAAGGGAAAACGTTTTTCATAAAACAAATAATCATGTCTCCAATTGGCCTATTCTGATGGTTTAGTTTTAATTATATTTAAAGAGAATCCATACTTGCATTGCTGTGTTGACATTTTTATATCAAGCCGGGTTGTACCTACAGGGGCATATGAAGGAGCATGCCTATCATTTATTATTGAAGGTCATGACTATCAATTAGAATTTATTATTGAATTAGAATTAGAAATTATTATTGAAGGTCATGTCTATCAACTAGAATTTAAAAATAGCAGACTTTAAACTTTATTTAATAATATGAGTATTGGGACTGAGAGGCAAAAATCATACCTTTTTTTCCCCACATACGTTCTTCTGGTTATGTCTCACCTAATCTCTCCTACCCACTCTACCCTATCCCAGGATGCAGGTTTGTGTCCTCAGAACCAATGGTTTCCTGGGTCCACCCCAGGAGACAACTGCAGGGGATTCCTACAGAGTCAGCCTGGGAAGTAGAAGGTGGACAAGGTTTTTGAGATTGTGATGGGAGACTTTTCAAGAATAGAGTTATCATTTTCCCTACCCTTCCAAGTCAAAGTACTATTTGCTCATGCTTCTGCTGTCACTACTCAATGCAAGATGGTTTGGGCTGTGTAGTCAAGAACATAGGGAGAGAGAAGGGCCTAGAGTGGCACCAGCCTAAGGGCTGAGGCTAGAGGTCCCTGGAGATACCTCTAAGGGGTGGTCTTTAAAAGGATATCCTTAAGTGGGGTAGACACCAGGTAGGAGGCAAAATGGGGTTTCCCATTCTTGGGGGCTTTTGTTCACTGAATGGGGAGTCCCCTTGCCCTTCTCCTCCCTATTAGGTTTCCTGAAAGCCTGCTGACACTCCCTGTCAACTATACTTGGCTTATAGAGGATGCTGCCCTTTGAGCACAATCTCTAACATTCTTGATCATCAATGAGCAAATCCTACCAGTGGGGGAGCTGAGTCACAGGCACATAAAGTAGGGCTGCGAGGCAAGGCCACTGGGTGATGCTGTAATCTTCCAGACCCCTGTACCTTTTCTTCTGCACTTGGGGTTTCTCTCTCATGGTTTTCCCCACTTATTCCATATCTTCAGGGCTATATTACTGTGTTGAAGAACGTTTTTCTCTGTACACCTACATATCAGGACTTGGTGCTTTTATATGTCCAGGCCAAGTGTCTTTTATATGGGTGTTTAGTGAATCCCTGGGTGTGGTGGTATGAGGAGTTAGAAAGCTCAGAAATGGAAAATATTTAACGTTTAGAGTAGCACATGAATACAACCTGTCCATTTGCATTTTCCCTTTCGTTCTGAGTCATCTTCCCCTCTCCCCACCCCTCCACCAGCCCCACCCACTGGCACACCCTGTCTGATCTAGGAAGGGTTAACATCTGTGTATACCCAAGCTAGAATGAGATGTAGACGGGGAAGGCATGTTAGGTCTGGAGGGAGAAAGCAGAAGGCTGTCTGAACATTTCGGGGTCCTGGAGCCAAAGGGAGAAATGGGAGTTTAGGGACATAATAATTGGGTCTAGGAGGGGGCTAGGATCTAAGGGAGCAAAAGCCTAGGGTGAACCAGACTTTGTCAGGTCACCAGAGCAGCCTACCAATGCCTAATTTGTTTATCTTCCAGTTACTTATTGGGCATATATGATATACCAGGCACATATCACAAATGATTTATCTACGTTTGTTGAATGAATAAAAAAGCCACAGGATGAGGGATAACGGAATAATAAAAAAACATAAAAAGAAATTTGAGTCTCTCAGACCTCATCCTTTCCCCAGGTTAACGAGTACTAAAGTGTGAAAACAGGGGAAATCTCCTGAGAGCTTGACCCTTTTGACAGGAAGTGAAAGAAACCCCAGAGTTCTGATTTCAGAGAAATGTCATTTGTCATCAACCCAAGAAAAGGGAGTTTTCTCTTCGAAGACCACCGCGGGCCCTTCCTGGGGTTGCCCCTTCAGAAGTTGATGGGAGAATCTGAGTCACTTGTACATTCAGTCCCCAGTGGTGGCCCAGATGACAGGGGTCATTTCCACAGAGCAGTCAGGCTTCCTAGTACTAAAAGTCAGGGAGAGGAAGGACAAGGCATGCTTTTGGCCCTCCTTCACTCTCTCCTTGGAATCCTGATGTTTCAGTCCTTTTTTCTTCTGAAGTAGTAGAAACAGCTTTTAGCTGCTAGAGCTGACAGTTCTCAGAACTAATCCTATTTGAACGATGCTACTGTACTGACAAACCACTTTCACATTCATCATGTCACTTCATCTTCACCCTTACCTCCAAATGAGATAAGCAAAGGTTATCCCTATTTCATGGATGAGATAACTGAGGCTCAGAGAGGTGACTTGCCTAACGTGACTCAACTAGTAAACAGCAGAGATGAGACTCGAATGTGGGTCTAATTATTCCAAGGTTCTTGCTGCGAGATGAACTTTAAAAAAAAAAGATTTTTATTTATTTATTTGAGAGAGCAGGCAGAGAGTGCGAGACAGCACATGAGAGGGGAGGGGGCAGAGGGAGAGGGAAAAGCAGACTCCTGGCTGAGCATGGAGCTTGATGCATCGTGGGGCTCGATCTCAGGACCCTGAGATGATGATCTGAGCCGAAGGTGGACGCTTAACTGACTGAGCCACCCAGGCGCCCCTTGATTTTTATTCTTTTGAAGTAATCTCTACACCCAGCATGGGGCTTGAACCTACAACCCCAAGATCAGGAGTTGCATGCTCTACAAACAAAGCCAGCCAGGCACCCCCTCACATGAATTTCTTTGACTCTAGAAGTTCACAAATGAAATAAGGAGACAAGGGAGGAAGAATGTCTTGAATCTGGAAGTAGAGGAGGTGGTCTTTCTTAGAGGGGTAAAGCAGAGCCAGGGGTATAAAGCCACACCCCCTTAGGGGGACTGTGGCAGACTGATACTTGGGACACCCAATGGAAGACTGTGAGGTCAGGGGCGGGGCTAGCTCCAGGGGGGCCCCAGGAGCCCCAACAGCAGTTCAGAGCATGCGGTGTCCAGGAGGAAGCTACAACCGGTGAGTGGTTGCTTCTCCCCAGCTGAGACTTTCCTCCCACTACACCCTGCTTTTTGTCCCCTTCCTACCAACCTGTAGCCTTCTCCCTGAGGTGTCCAAGTAGTAATCCTCCCCACAAGGGTCCTTACTCATGGTGAGTCCACACTGAGGAATATCCCTACCAGGCACTGAGACACTTAGATCTGTCTCTTAGTATCTGGGTTCCCAGTTCTCTTCTTAAAAGCCAGTGTGGTAGTTTTGATATGTGATGAATTTCTGCGTCATTGGTTCTTTCTATTTGTTGCTTTGGGCTTATGAAAAACAAAATCACCCATCTCCTTATCCTAAAATCTGGTAAGAAAATAGCCTCCCCCTATACAGATTCCATTTTCCTTTCTCCTGCTTCTTCAGGGGTCAAAACTTTCTCCAAAATCTCTCTCCATCCTTGATCGGAACCTTGTCTTCTGTGGCTTCTGCTCTCTCAACCCACTGGATGGGACTCTCTTCTCGGTCCTTCTCTGAGGACATGTTCTAGAAGTTTCAGCCATAGGGAGATAATCAACTGATGCTGCCTTGCAGCAATGACCTCAGTCTTACTGTCCTTTCTGCCTCTCAAGACTACTCAGCTCCATGTGATGGGGTGAAGGTGGGGTTGGGGGTCACACTAGCTTTCAAAACTCTCCCATGAAGCTGTGTCTTGCTCCATCCCTAACTGCCAGGGCTGACTGGGTCTTACGGTGATTTCTTTGTCTGGAAAGAAGAAAGCCTGGTCTGCTCCAAGGTCTTTCCTTGTAGAAGGGCTTAGAGTAGCAGAAGTATCGGCATCTGCACTTTTTTAAGTAGAGACTGCCAATTGGCAGGGCCCATCTATAGTAGCCTTAAACCCACTATTTGATATAGTCACTAACTGCCTGGTCTGTACTCTTTAAGTCCTGAATATGGTCTAATTTCCATTCTCCTTCCAACCCCCTCCTCACCCCTACCCTGTGGTCCATTATGATTCTGGATAAGCTCAGGTCCTCTCTTGGGTTAGTTTATTTGTTGCATTCAGGGCACAAAGAGCTCTGAACCAACAACTCACTCTTTCTCCCCTCACCTCCACAGGCTTGAGAATATGCTGTTCCTCTCTCCCCTTTCCACCATGGACCCCACACTGTGGCCTTTCTTTCAGGTCCTCTGAGACTGGTACCCAGGCAAGACACAATGCCCCTGTTCCCGACGACAAGACTGCTTAGCCCCTATGGCTCTGATCGGCTGGTACGGCTAGCAGCCAGGCTCCGGCCAGCACTGTGTGATACCTTGATCACTGTGGGAAGCCAAGAATTCCCTGCCCACAGCCTGGTCTTGGCAGGTGTGAGCCAGCAGCTGGGCCGCAGGGGCCGCTGGGCTCTGATGAAAGGCATCAGCCCTTCTACCTTTGCCCAGCTTCTGTACTTTGTTTATGGGGAGAGTATAGAACTGCAGCCTGGGGAACTGGGACCCCTTGAGGAAGCGGCCAGAGCCCTGGGGGTACAGTCTCTGGAAGAGGCATGCAGGAAGGCTCGACGGGACAGGGCTAGAGAACTGGGTCCAGGGCTCAAGGAACATCAGGAGGAGCCAGAGAAACCCACAAAGGATTCTGAGAGAGGACTGGAGGGACATGGAGAGCAGAGACCAGAGACATTTGTTAGAGCTGGTTGGAGAAAACAAGAGGCACTGCATGAGCAAAGGCCACCAAAAGACAGCTCTGAGAGAGCAGAGGCAATGAAGGAGGGTGCGGGGAAGCAGATGACATCAAAGGAAAAACTTAAGCAATCCCCTAATGGCCATGCAGGAACAGATGGGAAGCAAGACGGGATTATGTGGGTGACAGAGAGTCCAGGGGGCTCTGAGGAAGGTCTGCGGGAGTTCTCTGGCCCCCTTCCCCCACCAGGTTCCCTCCAAACAAGCGTCATTCCTAGGCCCTGGTGGGCTGAGGCCCCTTGGTTGGGGGAGGGCCAGCCCGCCCTGTGGAGCATCCTGCTGTTGCCACCCAGATATGGCACTCCCTTCTCCCATAGCACCCCCATCACTGGAGCCTGGCAGGAGGTCTGGCCTCGGGACCAGAGGTGAGTGAAGAGCCTAATGGAAGACCTCCCTGGCTGGGAGGGAGTGGCTCAGGATAGGCAGCAGTGATGGGTAGAAAGGCACCACATCTCTTATCTCTACTGTACATTTCCTGAGCTGGTGATAGGACAAGAAGCTTCCACCACAGGGGAATTCAAAGCCCAGCCCCTGAGGAGGACTCATGACATCTCCCTCTCCAGGAAGGGCCTGGCCAGGATCCCAGGTTTTGCCAAGGCTAACTCTTCCCCACCCCATCCCCAGGATCCCATTGTCCCTGAACCCTGAGAAAGGTTTCTGGAACCAGAACCAGTTGGCCAACTCCAGTCCTGCCGCAGGTAAGCCCCGAAGTACCCTGTACAAATGCTGTAACATGGTCTCTCTCTCCTTAGGCTGGGACTCCAGGAGTCCAGTCTGAGGAGAGCACCTCCTTCACTCTGCTCCCTCCAGGTTTCCTCCCCCAGGGCCCCACAAAGCTCAGCCCTGGGGAGATGAAAGAGTCTGATCAGAGGCACACAGGTGAGTAGGGTGAGGGCAATTTTGCTTCAGCCCCACTGTAGCTCCCAAAGTCTTGTCTGGGAGTACCAGTGGTCCAGCTCTGGGATTCCCAGCCCTGCTTTCTTTGCCTTCTCTAACCCCAACAGGTGCACTTGCAACCTGTGTGGGTCATGTGAGTAGAGCAGGCCCATCTCGCCAACAACCTCCCCCACCCCCACCTGCTCGGTCTCGGCCCTATTCTTGTTCTGTCTGTGGAAAAAGGTTCTCACTCAAGCATCAGATGGAGACCCACTACCGAGTCCACACAGGTATGGGCTCCCCACCCGGTGCAATTATCTGCTCCCTTCCAAACTCTGGTCTGTCTGCTCCTAAGTCCTCTGTGTGCTTGACTCCAACACAGTTCCTTTGCTCAGTCGCCCAGATCAACCCCTACACCAGCCTTCACCCACTTCTTTCCTTTACCGGCCTCCCCCTCCACCTGCCCTAGGAGAGAAGCCCTTCTCCTGTAGCCTCTGCCCCCAGCGCTCCCGGGACTTCTCAGCCATGACCAAGCACCTGCGTACGCATGGGGCCGCACCATACCGCTGCCCTCTGTGCCAGGCCGGCTGCCCCAGCCTGGCCTCCATGCAGGCGCACATGCGCGGCCACTCGCCCAGCCAGCTCCCACCTGGATGGACCATTCGCTCCACCTTCCTCTACTCCTCTTCTTCGAGGCCATCCCGGGCCTCGACCTCTCCCTGTAGGTCCCCTTCCTCAACCACCTGATGGTGTTGGTAGCTTCTTTGGCTTCAGCTGACAATACAATTAAAGAATGAAAGACGGGCCGACGGGCTGGCTAGGTTTCTGACCCAGCACCACAGCTATTGGCAGCCTGAGAAATCCGGCTCCAAGAAGCGCCGCAGAAAAGGCGCTGCAAGCCTTCTTCCAGATGACCACGGGCCCCAGAAGCCTGGGCCAGCGAGCCCGTGTGGGGTGCGGGCAGTGAAGTTTGCACGAGTGAAAATTGTGCGGGGACTAGCGATTCCATCATCAAAATAAAGAGTTTCCTGTGCCCTCCTCTCAGGACCAGAAGCGGAGTCCACTTTAGTCTGTGAGCTGGGGAGAGGGAAGGAAGGGCAACCTTGCCCCTTGTCCTGTGGCGGCCCCTGCTGGCGGTGCTTCCACTGTTCAGCGCGGGGGGCCACCTTCATCTCCGGTTGTCCCTGCTCTCCCCCAGAGGTAGCGGCCCGCGAGGGCCACGAAGTCCAGGCTGACTTAGCAGGGAGCCCTGTTGGCGGAGGCTGTGAGAAACCAAGTTATTAGCCCCTTTCACAGCAAACAACGGTGCGCAGAATATGAGTCTGGGACCCCCAGCCCGGGGCTCCAGGAACGCGTGCTCCACCCTCCTCCTTTTCTTGAGCTTTCTGCCACCCTCCTCCTCTCCTTGAGCACAAGGACCGCAAAGCTGCGGCCTCTCGAGCATTCCCTCCATGCGGTGCAGAACGGCAGCCGGGTGGCGCCTCCAACTGAGACTAATCCTCTGCGTCGGCCCTTTCCCACCCCAGCCTCCTGCAGTCGCGAACTTCATTTCCCAGTGTCTCTGGGATTCCCAGGATCCGAAGCCCAGAGCACCCTGGGAGTGGTAGTTCATGCATACCCTGGTCTCGAAAGGAACAATGGGAAGAGTTTGGGGGCGAGAACCACACCTCCCGGCAGCCCGGGAGATGGTTTTCTGGGTCCCATTAGGACCTAGTCCCAGCTCTCGCGGCCCTAGCTCCCGGCGGAAGAAGCGAGGCGCCTGGACTACATTTCCCGGAGTTCCCTGCGCCTCATCCCTCTCCGGCCGCCACACAGGGTCTGTGCTCTTCAGGCGCGGTCTAAGGGTGACTGCCGACTGGCCTCGGACTCCCGCTCCCGTGGTGCCCCGCGCGTGGCCGGCCCAGCCCCCGGCTCCCGCTGGCCCCGCGGCGGCGCTGGTTGCTGTCGTGAGCCGCAGCCGCCCCGCCCCACCTCTCCCTCCCACCCCCACTCCCCCCCCCCGCCGGCCCTGCGCACGGGCCGCCCCTCCCCCCGCCTCCCCGGCCCCTCTCACGGTGCCAAGATGGCGGCGGCGGCGGGCGGCGGCAGTTGCCCCGGGCCTGGCTCCGCGCGGGGCCGCTTCCCGGGCCGCCCGCGGGGCTCCGGCGGGGGCGGGGGCCGCGGCGGACGGGGCAGCGGAGCCGAGAGAGTGCGGGTAGCTCTGCGGCGCGGCGGCGGCGGCGGCGCGGGGGGGCCGGGCGGAGCCGAGCCCGGGGAGGACACGGCCCTGCTCCGTTTGCTGGGGCTCCGCCGGGGCCTGCGCCGGCTCCGCCGCCTGTGGGCCGGCCCGCGCATTCAGCGGGGCCGGGGCCGGGGCCGGGGCCGGGGCTGGGGCCCAAGCCGTGGCTGCGTGCCGGAGGAGGAGAGCAGTGACGAGGAATCCGACGATGAGGTGAGGCAGTCGGAGGCGTCCCCAACGCCGGGCGGGGCGGAGGCCGGGGGCTTCCAAGGGTCTGGGTGGCCCCGAGGGGTGGAGTGGGGAAGCGAGGTTCTCAGGGCCCCTGCGGAGGGAAGGGGCCCTGGAAATAGGCCTGGGAGTAGATAGGCTGCACGGAGCTGTCGGTGAAAAAGGCCTATGAAAGTATATAGAGAAGCCGGGCTGCAGCTGGGTACTTGGGCCTGAGGCACGTCCTGCAGAAGTGTCCTGGGCTGATGATCTTGGTAGTTGGCAAAGCTATTGCAGTAGAGCTTTGAGCGAAAAGGCTATGGATACTGCATGCCCAGCCAGTGGTGGTTGACAGCAGCAGCGTGGCTTTAGTGGACCCAGGCTGGGGCTCTCTGGGCTCTTACCTGTAGGCTGCTTCACCTGGCCTCATAATCTCCGACACATCCCAGATTCACCAGTTCCCCGATTCCTCTTAAAGTGGAGAGACGGTAGCATGTTGGAGGGCTTCCTCTTGGGGGCACAGGTTGAAGAAAAATGGAATAAAGGCTGAGACTGGGGACTCTGGCAAGTTCAAGTTCAGCTCAGGATTTATCCTCAGCCTCAGAAAAGTCAGGAGGGTGTGGATTGTATTACAGACAGTTTGTAGTCACCTCAGGGCTCAGAGTAGAGTTTATTATGGTAAACCACTTGAAACACACAGACACATACACACTCGATTTGAGTGCCCCTATTCCCATCTTCATTCAGGAGGAAACTGCAACCTGAGAGTGTGTAAACAGTAGTCCCACCTTTTTGAGTTGGAGGATGAGGGAGTCTGAGCGTAGTGTCTACTGCCTGGCCTGAGAAGACCCAGTTCTGTTCCCTTCCGGGCCAGCAAACCACTGACAGCTGCGCTGGTGTAGTCCGGTATACGGGATGGGGGTTCGAAATACCCTGTGCCTCCAATCCTAGGGAGAGACTCTTTTCTACTCTTTTTATCTTCCAGTCTTAAGTTTTTCTCTAAACAGATAGGGGTATGTTAAGGGGGAAACTGGGGCTATACCTCCATACCTGAATCTCCGGTGGAACGAGGGCTTTGGCACTGACTGCTGTTTCTCCCTCCACCCCTGGTCCCCTAAATCAGGAGTTTCAGGGTTTTCATTCAGATGAAGATGTGGCCCCCAGTTCCCTGCGCTCTGCGCTCCGATCCCAGCGAGGTGAGTGATGGGGAAACTCTACCTCTGTAGCTTTACAGGAATGTTATTCTTGCTCTTCATGTTAGCTTTTCCCTGTTTAACTAGAGTCTCCATCAGCTACATAGCGTGTTCTGTGTTCAAAGCCCAAGCTAGGCTGGGTTGTGGGGGAAAGAGACAAGGAAGACTTAGTCCTTGCCCTCCTGGAGTGCCTTCTTCAGTCTGCAGGGCTAGCTTGACCCATCTCCCCACACCTATTCTCCTTTTAGGTCGAGCCCCCCGAGGTCGGGGCCGCAAGCATAAGACGACCCCCATTCCGCCTCCTCGCCTAGCAGATGTCGCTCCTACCCCCCCAAAGACTCCTGCTCGGAAACGGGGTGAGGAGGGCACAGAACGGATGGTGCAGGCACTGACTGAACTTCTCCGGCGGGCCCAGGCACCCCCAGCCCCGCGGAGCCGGGCATGTGAGCCCTCTACTCCACGTCGGTCTCGGGGACGGCCCCCAGGACGGCCAGCAGGCCCCTGCAGGAAGAAGCAACAAGCAGTAGTGGTGGCAGAAGCAGCTGTGACAATCCCCAAACCTGAGCCCCCACCCCCTGTGGTTCCTGTAAAACACCGAACTGGCAGCTGGAAGTGCAAGGAGGGGCCTGGCCCAGGACCTGGGACCCCCAAGCGTGGAGGACAGTCTGGGCGAGGAGGCCGTGGAGGTAGAGGCCGAGGCCGAGGCGGGCTCCCTCTCGTAATCAAGTTTGTTTCAAAGGCCAAAAAAGTGAAGATGGGACAGTTGTCCTTGGGACTTGAATCAGGTCAGGGTCAAGATCAACATGAAGAAAGCTGGCAGGATGCCCCCCAAGCAAAAGTTGGATCTGGACAGGGAGAGGGCCCTTGCTGGAGAAAAGAGCAAAAGCTGGAGGAAGAGGGAGAGGAGGAGACAGAAGAAGAGAAAGACAAGGAAGAGAGAGAGGAGAAGGTAGAGAGAGCTGGACCTGAAGAAGAGATGATGCTAGCAGAGGAAAAGGAAGAGGCAAAGCTGCCATCTCCACCCTCGACTCCTCCAGCCCCTCCAGCCCCTCCACCTGCTCCATCTCCTCCACCTCCACCTCCTCCACCTCCTCCACCTCCTCCACCTCCACCACCTCCACCACCCCCTCCACCCCTCCCACCCCCCTCCACTTCTCCTTCATCCCCAGTTTGCCCTCCACCACCCCCAGTGTCCCCTCTGCCCCCACCATCGCCTCCACCGCCTCCTGCCCCAGAGGAGCAGGAAGAATCCCCTCCAGTGGTCCCAGCTACATGCTCCAGGAAGAGGGGCCGGCCTCCCCTGACCCCCAGCCAGCGGGCAGAGCGAGAAGCTGCTCGGGCAGTGCCGGAGGCTACCTCTCCTCCCACTCCAACCCCCAGCACCACCACGGGGGGCCCTCTGGAAGACAGCCCCACTGTGGCCCCCAAAAGTACCACCTTCCTGAAGAATATCCGGCAGTTTATTATGCCTGTGGTGAGTGCCCGCTCCTCCCGAGTCATCAAGACACCCCGGCGATTTATGGACGAAGACCCCCCCAAACCCCTAAAGGTAGAAGTCTCACCTGTTCTGCGGCCTCCTGTTGCCACCTCCCCACTTGCCCCCCCAGAACCAGCACCAGCTCCCTCTCCACCACGTGCCCCAACCCCCCCATCTACCCCAGTCCCACTCCCTGAGAAGAGACGGTCCATTCTAAGGGAACCCACATTTCGCTGGACCTCGCTGACCCGGGAACTGCCCCCTCCTCCTCCTGCCCCCCCACCGGCCCCACCCCCACCTCCTGCCCCTGTCACTCCATCGCGGAGGCCCCTGCTCCTTCGGGCACCTCAGTTTACCCCGAGTGAAGCCCACTTGAAGATCTACGAATCGGTGCTTACTACTCCTCTTGGGGCCCCGGAAGCCCCTGAGCCAGAGCCTCCTCCTGCCGACGACTCTCCAGCTGAGCCTGAGCCACGGGCAGTGGGCCGCACCAACCACCTCAGCCTGCCTCGATTTGCCCCCGTGGTCGCCACTCCTGTTAAGGCCGAGGTGCCCCTTCCTGGGGCTCCGTCTCTGAGCAATGGGCATCAGTCTCAGGCTCAGCTACAGCAGCCCCTCCAGGCCTTGCCAAGCCAGCTGCTGCCCCAGGCACTACCACCACAGCAGCCCCAACTACAGGCGCACTTACAACTGCAGCCACAGCCACAGCCACCGCCACAGCAGCTGTCACCACTGGAAAAGGCCCGTACTGCGGGCTTGGGTTCCTTACCGCTGTCTGGTGTGGAGGAGAAAATGTTCAGCCTCCTCAAGAGAGCCAAGGTGCAGCTGTTCAAGATCGATCAGCAGCAGCAGCAGCAAAAGGTGGCGTCTTTGATGCCGGTGAGCATGGCACTTTGGCCAGGTTTCTGCACTCAGTCATCTGGCCTCAGTTCTCTCCATTCTCTCAGTTTTCGGTCAC